ATCACCAAAAACTCATCGGATATCGACGAAGCTCGACGCCGCGGTCACGCCCAAAGTTGTTTCACTTTCCAAATCGTTTTTTTTCGAAAGTTATCGCGAAAAACAAGATTGTGAATATTTGCTCGAACGGACCATACGACGTGGAAGTCGTGGACGCTGCCGGGCGGCTGGGGTTGCTCACCCCCTATGCAATGCCGGAGAGTGTGGCACGTGTTGTGTACCTCCTTATATCTATCGGCAATGCGAAATTGGCCATCTTCGTTCACCAATTTGCAGAGGGTGCTACCGATAGTCTCCGCATTTGTTCTTAACGGGACTGACTTTACTCCAACGCTTAGTGGCTTGACGGCATCGAGTATGTTCCAAGCATACTACGACGCGTTGAAGGATGCCGGCAACCACAACTTTGTTCTGCCGCTGGGTTCCGAGCAACGTGAGGGGGGGTCGGTATCTGGTGTAGACCTGGCCAGAGGGGAATTGGTGAAGTTTGTCTCGCTAGCGTACTTTACAAAACATCGCAAACTCTTTGTGAACGTCCTTCCGGGACGCCAGGTTAGGTCGGATGGCGTTAGGTCGGAATACCTGGAAGGGCAGGTCGATGACGTAGGGCCATGGGTCCAGGCCATCAGCGACCGCACTACCGAACATAGTTTTGGGAAGGGGTACATTAAGGCTCCTGCCCCAAATTACGACGTTAGTAACAACTGCGTGCTACGCATGGAATGGTTGGTGGAGTATTGGCTCTCGATTATGCCGGTCCCTTCCGAAAATGTGTCCGCCATGTATCCGATTCAAATTCCCGACTGGAAAGGGGTACATTGCGAATCCGGAGTGCGAAGGGGGGGCTTTGCTGGTGTTGCGTGATCTGCCGAAGGTGACCCTCTGGGCGGGTGTAAGAATTCACATCGTGTCGTGCAGATGTTCGTCTGAGAGGGGGAAGGGTCAATGTAGAGGCTGCGTTTGCATTCAAAGGGGTGGTCCAGGTCGTTGTTCACAGTTGTGTAAGTGCAACCTTGCATGCCTTGAGGAGCAAAGCAACTTACCCAGGGTGCAGCGAGGGTCTACACCTGAGGAAGTACTGCCCAACGATGATGATAGTGGCAGCGAGTCAAAGTCTAATGATGATGAAGATTCGCCGATTGTAGAATGTTTGGGTGGTTTCGAGAAAAAAGGGCATTCGTCGTCTGGGGTGGACACCGGTGTGTGTGGATTCTGCGAAGAGGATGCGGGAGAGTACGAGGAACGACTCGCCAACGAGGGGTCGGGCGGGGGTACGCAGCAGCGGGTGGTGTTGTCGACTGAAAATATGGCGGCGCCGAGTAACGAGATGTCCGTTTGATAATTGATAATATTTCGTTGTATTTCTTGCTGCTAATATGCTATCAACAGGACGCGGATCCCGAAGCACAGCAAACAAATATTTGGGGCTGTTCTTCACATGACACCACCCGCTACCACTGCTTTTGGTAGTACACACAAAACTAAAAATGGCACACACGCTCCGATGCCGCGGCCAGCGCGGCGTGCGCCTCATGTCACAAAGGGAAGCTGCCGAAGACGTCAGCGAGAAATACCGGCACACAAACGAGAGAGTCCTCGCCACCAAATAACAGCACTGACCCCCATATACTCGAGTCGGCTACGTGTTGCCGGTAAATCGCAATCACAGTAGTACATTTCCCTCATTCCTAGCGCACTCATGAATTGCTCGTGCGCATTACCGTTCAATGTTGGGACATCGGCTTGTGGGGTCTACCGCAAGGGGCGCGCCCTCTGACACCTGAGGTCAGCGGTCGGACTGACCTTAAGCCTGAGGTAACATAGAAAAAAGAAACGGGTCCATGCGCGATTTCGTCCTCCCGGACTCTCAACAACCCATTCTAACTAGGAACAAATAAAAGCTTCGTGCTATCACTATATAATACTACTATATCCACTACCAGGAGGGTACCACACACCCCAAAATTCGCCTACCCTTTCGTGGGCGGGTTGGTACCGGGCCCTGCTCATCATCATGCATAGAGCCGGGGGGTTCGCCTGAAGCCAACCTGCTCGGTCGGCACAGGGTTCCAGAAACGACAGCGGCAATTTCAGCGCCACGCCTTTCTTCGCCACCGTCAACGCCGCCTTGACAAAGGCCAGCGCACCCTTGTACGGGGGGCTCGTCACGACCCAGTCAGGTTGTTGCCCGTGGTGTGCTGCCAGGAAATCGTCCGTAAATGACGCCGAGCTCGCGTCCAGGTTCGTGTCCGGAGACAACCTTGAAAAAAAAACAGGTTAATAAACAGGAGGGATGCAAAGGGCGTCAGAACATGGAACAACACTGACGCACTTACGTCCTTTTCCCCTTGTTTCCTAGGAATAAAACTTGCTCTGGAAAGTTAGAACAACACCAAAGTGTTTGGACCACACCAAAGAAAAAAAAAAAGCCGCCGTCACTGTCGGTCACTCGTAGACTACGAATTCCCCCCACATGCTTTGGCCTCAATCGGATAAGCACACACCCGCTGATGCTAACAACACCCAGCAAAGCCTCCAACGCCGCGGGCAAAGTGCAGTAACAATCGAAACACCAGCGCTTCAGCTGCTTGACAGGTTCAGCAGCGCACGTCCACTTCGGCCCTCGCTTTGCTCGGCGTTTGGTAGGCGCCCTGCTCTCCCTTTGCTGGTTCAGTACGAACAGCTCCAACAGGCAACCCGCACGTTCACATAGGACGAGCTTGTCTATGCTTGGATCGCCGCACTTCAAGCCGGGGAACTTGTCTCCCATGCCGGCTGCCTCCAGGAAAGCCCGGACATTACCCCCCGGTCCTTTCTCTCATACAGCGAACGTCAACTCTTGCCGTTGGTCGCTGGCACGCGCTGCAGCATTCCTCCGACACAACCCTGTCCGACAAAAGAGACGGAAGCAACATTCTACGTGTTTATTTGGGAGCTTCATGTGAGGGAAAGTGAACCAATGGCACACACACAGCATCTTGTTACTTTCATGGCTAAACCAGCAGTACAAGAGAGGCACGGGGGCCTCTTAACCTGCTGTACTGGGTAGCAGCGGTGCAACCCAACGTGNACATTCTACGTGTTTATTTGGGAGCTTCATGTGAGGGAAAGTGAACCAATGGCACACACACAGCATCTTGTTACTTTCATGGCTAAACCAGCAGTACAAGAGAGGCACGGGGGCCTCTTAACCTGCTGTACTGGGTAGCAGCGGTGCAACCCAACGTGCGTTCTGGCAAGTTCCGCCGCGTTTTTGGAGGCACATCTGCTACACCGATTTCGCGCGCTGTAGTGCTGATCCCAATTAGTGCAAATCTTTTATTCAATCTACATCTATGGGCCCGGTCAGCTGCCAGTTCAATCGCTGCTGCAGGGCACGTTTTGATGGTAACTAAATTGGCTGAAAGTTGTTTGGCAAACCCGGTGTCACCGTGGTCCGAAACTTCCTCTTGTGCCCTCAAGCCCTTTCTCCACCTTGCCGACATTAAAAAATCAATGAACCTCTCACCGGTGTATTACACAACTTGATCGAAGTTCCCGCCAAGTTTCGTGCCGATCCGGGGTGTTGGTGTGGAGCCCTGGGCTGGTGAACAGGTGGTAGCAGTGGTGACCCTGGGGGCGCCAACGCGGGGGGATATTGTAGGCTTTCCCCGCTGAAACCCGCGGCGTTTGTTTTTGTCTGTACTTTTTTTTTGCTTTCCTATGGGCGCGAATACACGTGTGGTTAGCTTTCGTTTGAGCACTTCAGCGTGCCGATCGGCGCACGCAGCCCCGAGCTACAGCAACGCGCCCACCAGCAGTCTCGATGCGGCGCATCTTCGCCCTTGTTGGCCTCCTGCTGCTAAGCATGGGTCGGTGTAGAGTGAGCGCGGAGACTGCTGCGAAGGCCTGTGAAGCGGTCCGCAGCGGTAGCATGTCACGCAACGCTGCTGCTGCTGCCTACGGGGTCAACAAGACATCGCTCTCGCGGCGGCTGAGCGGTGAGTGTGCCATGGACGCGCGGGTGGGCCCCGGGACTGCCATGACCGCAGCAGAGGAGGATGCGCTTGAAGATGTTATGCTGTACGCTGGTCGGAACTATATTCCGCTCACCACCGCAGACCTCAACGGAGCGTGTGAGACAGCTCTGCAACGACGGTCGACCGATCCCATGGACCTCTGACAAGGGCCCGGGGAGGAGCTGGCTTGAGGGCTTCCTCGGACGGCACGAGCGCATCAGCCTTCGACTCGCCCGCATCTACTAGTCCAAGAGGGTGACCTCCGCGGAAGATGAACGTCTGCACAAGTTCGACGACTTCTGGGGCTAGTTCTTCGACGAGCACCAGCCGGCGGCCGACCATGTCTGGAACGCGGAAGTCAGGTGAGCAACACGGGGTAGTGGTGTGGTGTCGGCAGTAGCTGCTGTGTGACGAATTGTGAGCTTGTTTCTACATTTGAGCTGCTGTGCACGACGTGAAAAAGAGGCAGAGTTCTGCGGCTGCTGTAATAAGAAATCGAGTTTTCCCGCAGCGCGTGGCCTCCGCAGAGGACCACTGCTTCATGAACGCGCAATTGCTGTCGTGTACGCTGGCTACTGTTTGGAATCTTGTTCATGTCGGCAGCATGCACACACGTTGCTTCAAGAGCAGTTTCGCATGCTGATACACATGAGTTTTTGCGCAGCACACACACGGAGTTGATGTGTGGGAAGGAGAAGCTTGTCGCGGTGCTGCTGCTGCTTCTGCTGCTTCTGCTACACTACTAGCAGTGGCCCCTGTGTGGACTTTTTTTTTCTCGAGGCTCAAGACGAGAAGGCTGTATTCTAGACTAGTGCGATGGCCCCAGCTGTGCAGCTGCGCCGGTACAGTTTTCATGTGAGGACATCCCACCGTGTTCGCCGTTCTCTTCCCCGCCCGCTCCCCCACCCATTTCAGGCTGGACGTTGGTGGTGCGTGAAAGCGCTATGTATTGTACCCCGTACTTAATCTCCTACTGCTTCTCCCTCCCCCTACTCCCGCTTTGCCGCCGCAAAATATCATTGCAGGTGGCACCGTTCAAGGTACGCAGGGACAGCGGGTCGTGGCGGAACGGGGGCAGCCGGTGGTCGCCCAGATGCGCTCCACCTCGCGAGAGAACTGCACGATCATCACCACCATCAACGCCGCCGGCGCCGTGTTGGCCCCTACCTTCATCTTCAAAGGGCAACGCTTCAACGGAGATTGGGTCGCGGATCTCAACGGCCCGCCGGGTGCGTTCAACGACTGCACGGAGTCGTCCTTCATGTGTGGTGAGGTCTTCATCAAGTACATCAAGAACTTCCACAAGCAGCTTGGCGACCGCAACTTGCTCGACGGAAAACCCCATGTGCTAGTGCTGGATGGGCACACGTCGCACGTGAGCTTGGACGTCATAAAGTTGGTCATCTCCCTCAACATCCACCTCGTCCAGCTGCCCTCCCATATGTCCCACATCACCCAGCCCTTGGACGTCGCTGGCTTCGGGTGCTTCAAGAAGGAGCTAGCGACGGTGATCCAGGCCTTCCCGGCGAGGAACGGAGGGGCACTACCGCGGAAGCGGGACATGGCCGGAAATCAACCAAGCTTCCTTCGCCGGGGCGGGCTTGTGGCCGGTGTACAGGGAGCGGGCACTCAGCCGGCTGCTGCGCCCGAAGAGGAAGGTGACGGAAACCGACCGCTTTCCCCTGGAGGACGTCCACATCGCCGTGACCAACGAACGTCTGGAGGAGTTGATCGGCGACCGCGGCGTCCGCGCGCTCAGGGCAAAAGGCCATGCCAGCACGGGACTTCGCGTGAGCACGGTGGTCCTCAGCAACTTCCTGCCCAACAAAAACAAACGTCCCAAGGGCCCGCCCAAGCGGGCGAACTTGGGCCGTCCAGAGGGAAACCTCCTCTCTGCGCCGGAGTGGGTGGCGGAGCAGGAGAAGAGCTTAAACTCTTCGCAGATTTCAGGCGGATTTTGCTGCCGTCCAAGTCAATAAAGCGGGAAAAGTACCCATGTTTGCACAGCCATAACATCGTCTTTAGGCTCTCGTTTGTCGGAATTTTTTTTGTGACTTCGAATAGGATGCGCACGAGTCGTTGGTGCATCAGAATACGACGGTTGCGTTTCATGGCAAAAAAACGCGCGTTATCCCCCAACAGGGGTATCTTCCGCCTCCGGTAATAAAGCCGAAAAACCGGGGATACAGGCATTTCGTCCCCCGGGTGTGGACCGATTTTTTTTTGTTTGTTTTAATGGAATCTGCATTATATTACCAGCTCGTGTGCCAAATTTCAGGTCTTGATACGCTTTAGAACCTGCGCAATCGGCCACTACCCGAAAGTGGTCCCAAACAGGGGCACCGTCATTTTTCCCGCATTTTTTTTCTGGAAAATGAGGTATAGTTCGAGGGCTACAGTTCATCGCCACTTGACTTTTTTCTCATATAACGCTTTTTGCGCTGGTAGGGTGTGCTCTAAGCTATCATCCGATACCCCAACCTCTTCATGAATCATCGTTACGCCAGAGAACGAGCTGCCTGAGTGGGGGGGGGCTCAGGTGGTCCTTAATTGGCATATTTACTCTGCAGGGTACACATGGATTTATTTGCGTATGCGTACCATAAAACGCGCCGCCACTTAATTTACAGTGAACATGCGTTGGACTGGAAGCTTCTGTCTACAATCAAAATATGTTTTATATCTATGACGTGCATGACAGTAGTACAACGACGAACAGGACGAGCCAACTATTAATAAATAGCCCTTGTACTTGTCGATTTCTTCCGATAGAAAAAACAAAGCGGGAGTGACCGGAAAGTTAACAAAATGAGTACTCCCACCGGGGTTCGAACCCGGGACCTCGGCTTTATCAGAGCCGCGCTCTACCAACGGAGCTCTGGGAGCTGCTATTTTCGGATGTACGTACCTACTCTTGTAACGTACAGTGAACATGTACGTACGGACTGGAAGCTTCTGTCGACAATCAAAATATGTTTTACAGCTACAGTAGCGGCTACGGTTTAAGAGAAGGTCGGTACAAGCCAATTTCACTCTCTTAAATCCGTCTTTCTGTTCTATCATGTTGGCTACGGTATAAGAGAGAATTCTCTTTAACAGTATCTCACTATATGAGAATATTCTCTTATATCGTAGACAAAACTAGAAAGGTCGTGAAACAGGGACTCTCGCGCACTGACTACACTCGAATGCCAAAATAGGTCATGAAGAGAGCGTGTCATGCATGTCACTTGCGCAGCTAGCGTTACCACGTCGGGCTACCTCCAAACACCGCTCATTCTCTTGGTTGGCAAGCACGTGGACCCAAGTACTGCTGTACGTGGTACGCTTTTGGTGGATCTGCGTTCGGAAAATAAATCATCGTTGTGTGATGCGATGCACATTTTGCACGCGGACACGTAAAAGGTTTTTGGTTGAGTTGTTTTATAGCTGTGTTTCATAGTCGCACCTCTTCTAGAAGGACAACACGAGGCAACGAATGCACCAGCACTCAAGAACGACGCACCCGTTTACACAATGCACCACTTCCTCCCACCGTACCCTCAACATAACACCCTCATACCTCTCATCCCATCGATTTAAACCCCCGACAAAAACACAAGTCAACGGAAAGAAAAGGGCTTCTATGAGACTGTTGTCTCCAGGTTCGCGTGTGAGCAAGTTCCCTTAGGGATGGGCGGTGTGGATACACACCGGATCAACCTCTGGTGGAGAAGCTGATGTACGGAACGTTGAGTCGAGTGTGTGTGAGTGAGGCAGGTGGGGATCAACCTTGTGTTGAAGCAAGGTTCAGCATCCAACCTGCACTGACTCTATCTGTGGTAACACCCCGAAGGTAGATCTCCGACAGGTCATCTGACGTCACAATCTACGACAGTCTGAGGTGGCATTCACATCACTCCCTATCTTCAATCTCGGGGCATGAATCCGGATTGAAAGATACAAGAATGACATAAGTACCTCAGATTGTATGAAATTGTGAAGTACTGATGAAAAACATGAGTTAAATGACTTGGGCCGAAACGTACGGCGACTGCCATCATTCAACGAACGCTTTGTGTTTTGTAGTTATGAAATTTGGAACGTGTCACCAAAATATCTCATCCGAGCATCGATCGTACATAGCGCAGTCACCACCACAGCTTGCACGAGAGCAATTCAGGAATTTTGGCAACTATTCCCGTACGACGAACGAATAACTACACAGATGACGAAAGGTGTACGGAACATGTCACTTCAGTCCGCCTCGGCGCTGTAGGCAACATGTGATCTACCGTACGACGAACGACGTGTGTACAGAAAAAAACATCACTCCGGTGCGCGTCTTGCACCGATAGTGTAAAAAAAACTGTACAGTAGTACCTTGAGACAACGCCGTGAACTGCTTGGTAATTGCACGTAACGAACATCCAGCAACGAAAAATAATTTGACATTGCACATGTGAAAGACGGTTGCTTGCAAGGCTTAAATTTCACAAGTGTCGAATGGCAAATGACGTGGGTCGACCCGCTGGGAAAACGTTGCTCAAACGATATGCAGCGGCAACAACGAACGAACATATGTGCACAGCTCGTGGAGAGCTAACGATACGACCTTNCCACCATTCACTCTTTCGCGATGGACGACACGCGAGAAACGATGTGTTGGGCGAAAATCCACAACACAAACGACAAGACAAATCGGGCATGAACAAAACCGTGTGAACAATGCAAAAGTGCATGGATCCAGAGGTCGATTGTCAATTGCAATTCCCCCAAACTGCAAGTGAGACGATATCACCCCCCAATTCAGGACGGAGTGGACGAGAGAACGACGAACTTCCGATCACGAATATTCGCTCACATAAAGCTGTTGGTCCCCCTCCTCTTCCTGGAAGTGGACCTCTTGTATTTTTCTCGATTTTTTCTTGTTCCCCATGATGGCCACTCCTGCAAGGTAGTGCCACCACCGAACAAAGAACTCAACAAACACACGTAACGCCGCTGACGCCACTATGAGACTGTTGTCTCCAGGTTCGCGTGTGAGCAAGTTCCCTTACGGATGGGCGGTGTGGATACACACCGGATCAACCTCTGGTGGAGAGGCTGATGTACGGAACGTTGAGTCGAGTCTGTGTGAGTGNGATCTCCGACAGGTCATCTGACGTCACAATCTACGACAGTCTGAGGTGGCATTCACACTTCACAATATCAAAACATCACTCGCCGTACAAATATCACAAACCCAAGAAACCAACGGGAGGACAGGCAGTTGTGGCAGATGCGATGCATCTCGGAGGTGCCCTGAGGGTCCACCACACCACAGGTGCCATGGAGGTACTGCCCGCAGACTCCTCTACATTGGTGATTTGTGAACGCCGGCGGGCCTGGCGTGTGATCGGGGACAGCCGTGCAGCGACTGCCCGCCGCGCAGGGCATGGTGTCTGCAGCTGTGTGGGTGTGTGATGTGTGTGTGTGTCCACGTGGTTTCCATATTGTTCGATTTAAGAGAAAAATCCCAGCTGCAGTAGGAAATTTCTCTTAAATCGATTTTGATTGGTACAAGCCAATTCCTCTCTCGTAAATCCGTACTTTCTCTTAAAAAAGTTCTCTTAAACCGTAGCCGCTACTGTATGACGTTCATGACAGCAGTCCAACGACGAACAGGACGAGCCAACTATTAATAAATAGCCTTGTACTTGTCGATTTCTTCCGATGGAAATAACAAAGCGGGAGTGCCCGGAAAGTTAATGAAGTGAGTACCCCCACCGGGGTTCGAACCCGGGACCTCGGCTTTATCAGAGCCGCGCTCTACCAACGGAGCTCTGGGAGCCACCTCGTGCTGATGCACATACACCGAAATTCTGCCCATACTATCGTGACGTACGTTGTGTAATCGGCAAGCGGGGTGGAAGAATCACTGCAAAGGGGGACGCATTCATGTCACGAGGCGTGTTTCTAGTGTACAAAGACCTTGAATGTTGAACAGGTGTTTCCCAGCACGATCGCGTTCTTCGATGTTTCGCTTCTAAACATGTGTTTGGATATGCATATGTTCCACTTATCCGAAGTAGCGTTGGTGAGTGAAACTGCTGTGGCAGGTTTGGTTTCGAGCGTCGCGCTATAAACCGTCTCGGAGGTCTTCTGCGCTACTGTACCCTGCCTTTCGTCCTTGTGCGTTGGGGGCTTCCTCTGGGTATCTCATTTCGAAAGCCATGCTGTAGGTTATGGACACCAACCAGAGTTTACGCCTTTCTTTGTCTTGTCCACACTAGACAGCACTAACGTTTTATTATTCACGGGGAGAGCGGTTGTTTTGCATGCCAGAAATACGTGAAGGCATCATCAACAACAAGTATGACTGAGTATGAATGGAGTCTTCCTCCTCCCACCAGCCTTCGGCCACTTATCAACGCTGACTACAAAAAAAATGGCGCACGGATATAGAACAATAATACCTCCGAGATGCTTGTCGTCCGACTCTGATCGACAAAGCCTTCATAACACCAACCAGTGTCTGTCCCATTCGGAAAACAAAAACGAGGCCCCTCCCGGATAAGAGATGTTCTGGGCATGCTCTAGCGGGGTTCGGAGTTTTCAAACTTTGGTCAAATGGATCCCGATATATTAAGGCAACCCTCGAAACACGGCACGGATCAATTCCTTCCGGTGTAGAGGCAAAACCAGAACGTTTTCCCGTCTTCGAACAGCGGTCTGTAGAACAGTCTGGACATCATTTCTACATGAATACTTTCTAGTGAAGCACTGGTCTACAGATAGACGCGGGTTTTGTGCCCTGGGCAAACTGCGATGACTTGCCTGTCTACGAAATCGTCCGATGGTACGCTGCCAATCATCCTCAGTTGTCCATGTGTCACACATTTAACCGCACCGCCAAACGACAAAGCCTTGTACGTAGGGTCAACGTCAAGCTCGATCTCGACAAATCACGCTTCCGTGATCTTCACACCATAGCGGGAGGCACCTGCTGCGCGGGGGTCCTCTTACAACGATCTACCAACAGACTCGGATTCTTTTTCGGGCATCTCCGATTCTTCTTCGGGCATCGACCTGTCCGCGTCAGTCGACCTGTCCGAACCAGGGACGACCCGGAGATGCTCGTCCACTTCGCCAACTGTCCATTCCACGAACTCGTCGATCACCTACGATGCGGCACGTGCACACATGGGATGGGATTAGGAGGGGAGGTGTCCAAAACCAGGAGCCACCATCAACAAAAACACCGAACAGCCACACCAAAAATACTCGATGAAAATCGAAAGGTCAACGAGTTGGGCAAGCCTCGAACATGTGAACAAGCGTCCCCATCGCCTGTGAACTACTCATACTACATACGCATCAGTCAACACAAGGGCTTGTTCCCTGCATACGGCTGGCACTGTGTGCTGACGTTCTGTAGGGGCACCAACAAGAAGCAGGGCAAGGCAAGACTCGAGATGAAAAAAAATAGTGCCCAACCACCGAATACGGGGGGCGCTGGAATAAACAACACTTGGCAACCAGCACCAAACTTTTCGCGATGCGAGCAACGCCGGCGGGGAAAACGGAGCAATGCGCGACAAAAAAAATGCCAGCATTCGGTTGACGGCGCCTGCTGAATATCACCAACCCATCGCCAGAGTCACGGTACACCCAAACAGCTACACATATGGAGGGTGCTCAAATTCCTGGCCCGACACAGGCGCTTGGGTTTTGCGACACGTCCAGTTCCGTCAACGCAACAGAAAGGTCAAGATGAACGCAGGATGCCGTCGTGGTTGTGTAAGCTAGCTCCTTACCTTATTTGACACGAGCTTGAGCACCTTGCCCTCCCACTTCTCGGGGATCCCCGAGCAGTCCACGCGCTCGTTCAGTTGTCTACCACGAAACAAAATCGCACCAAGGATCGGCATGGCAACATGCCAAGAGAGGCAAGGGCACTTCATTAACGAGCCAATGACAACGAAACAAGGCTCCGCATCGGAGATTGTACCGGTTCGCAGCAAGGGTCAAAGGCGAGGTTGTTTCTTACACCGCGGTGTAAGACGGAATGTGTCAATGCAATCCCACCCGCTGGGATGGGTTCTTGACTAGATCATCGCATCGGATCGGAGGTTTCCGGTTGACATAATGAGACCAAGGGCGGCAACAAGATGTCGGCTATGACTGAGACGCCTTCGACAAACACGACTCAACAGCGACAAAGGCAAACCTACGGCAGCCTAGCTTCCCTGCGCTGTTGGATCTGAGAGAACACCTCAAGGCTCAAACAAGTACACCATGTATTACCAACTCCAGCAGTACTAGCATCATGACCACGGGGGCTTGGAGCACCCTTCCAATTAGCCCACGCGAGCAACGAGAGCGACAGACAACAGACAACCAAACAATCACCCACCTGGTGAGAGGCTCCGACAGCTCGCCACGCAGGAGGGTCGAGATGTGCTTCCTCCTGTTCTTGATGGTTTCAGTCTCGTCCAAGGCCTTCTTGATGCACCTGGTTTTGGTGGCAGCAAGAATAACGGGTATGTAGTTATCACACACGGTGGGGGGCTTGGATATCTCGATGCAGTCATGTCATGGTTGAGCGCCAACGTGACACAACCCGTATCACTTGTTGGTCCCCTGGATGCAAACATGCTAACACAACGTTGCCCTATGTTGATATATCGTGTTCGCCGGTCTTCGGCAACTGCCTTGAATGAAAATGCTCTGCAATTGCTGATTTTGACAGGTACTGTACATATGACACGGCCCGGTCAGGGCTTCCAAGGCTTGACTCTAAATGTCCCATGGATTCTACACCCTCCCGAACATGCCAAGTACCAAGATGCTAGAAAGCGCATATGGGAGGCCGATTTTCCTCCTGGTGTGCCTCGCGTCACCTGACGTATACGTCCGGCATGATGGCCTGCATGGAAGGTTCCACCTTGGGCATGATCTTGTCAACGAGCTTCTCGATCAACCGCCTCTCCCGCGACTCCGACAAGAGGGGAATGTCCAGGTCCTCGTTCACCTTGCGAACCATCACCTGATCGATTGGAACGAAGGGAAACAGAGCGGTGTGTCTGATGAGAAAGTCGGTTGTAAGTCCACGCAACAACACCGACGTCTAGGTGGCTCTCAACGGTGGGCAATGCGTCATGAATCATCAATTGTTCACGACAGGGCTATTCGAAGGACGGCACATACTAAACGATTGAACAGCAGTGTAGATCAACCGACTTGTGAGCTTTCGTGTACATTCTTCACCTCTGTCCCAACCTGGCACCGAAGCCTACCGCTACATGAAGCAAGAACAAATCATAAGCCCAGGCGAGACTGTTGTTCTTGTCCTAAACTGCCCAGTCTACATGATACATTGGTCTTGGGGGTAGCTTGTGTACGCTCAATTCGGTCAACAATTCCACAGCGATCAGGTCCCGGAGGTCATCAGCAGGACACCAGCAGGGCATGCATGCAAATTAATCAACATCCATAAACCTGGCGACTTGCAGCCAATCCCTTCCGAGGAAACAACCGGCGATTTACATTGCTGCCGGTACGGTACTTGCAGTACACAATGCGCCACCACCACTCCGGGAACTCTTCGTTTGTGCAACCCTCGCGGTCACTTTGTGAGAAAAGAAATACAGAACATACTCGTCTTTACCGGGAAGTTGTAGCACTGAGGGGCTGGGCTGGGTTAACTCCTTGGGTGAAATAACAACACCCCGCAATCATTGGCTGCGAAGTTCTAATGTTGTGCACGGCGTCGCCTGTGGTAACATGGGAGTGCAGAGTGTATGGCTCTCCTACAATCCACCAGTTCTCAAAAATGATGCAACACACAACTGCTGTGTTACGCATGCACCTCCATGGAGTACAGCATTGGGAAGAGATTTTGATCGCTGTATAGATGGGCAACGCCGTATCGTCTAACGGGGGCAATACATCCCAGCATCCCGCCCCCCCAAACAACTCCGAAGGGGGTGTCCACTACGATACAACTGCTTTACAGCAGTACCAGAGTATCAATGCACCTATGGATCTGACGGTAGGCACATAAGTAGTCTCTTACTGAAGCGTTGCACAGACAGCTGCGGACGCCTTCGGGTTCCACCGTGTGGACCCTTGCGTAGCGGTGGCTTCTAGGCAACGGTTGTGGAGCAGTATACGCACCGCTCTCTGCCTCTCGTTCAACATATTGACCAGCTTTCGACGAGCGCGTGCTCCTTCCGCGGGTAAGCTTCCTTGTGAGCAGCAGCAGCAGCACAGCAGTAAAAAGTACAACACAGAGCCGCGGGTGTTCTGTTTCAGACCGCAGCGGCAAGCAGCGGGACAGCCGGCTACGAGCAAGAAACGCGGTGATGAGTGAAGTAACGAAGGATATTTTTCTCGGCTGTCTCAGGTGAATCTAAGACACAGGGCAGTTTCATCGTTCGTTTCGGGTGTACCGCAGTAGCCGCTCTCTATCCGAAACGCACGACCTACACGCTATACTTGTCCAAGGGTCAAAGGGGCACGACGGACAAATGGAACTTCAAGGAAGGCCAGAACATCCAAGCAGTCAACTTCCGCCAGCTCAGCGCCCCCGCCCAATCTAAACGCGCCGGCAGCTCGCATCCCTGCTGTACGCATGCCTCCAAGTTTTATCGCGTCGACACCCGTGGCTAGACAGAGGCCAGCTCCTGGCTCCTCTACCGCTCTTGTTCCACAAAGATAGGCGGCGTAACAAAACACACACGCAATGCAACAACCCGTGTACTGCTCGACTGACAGCTGTTGGAACATCTGGTGGAATCTTGATGGGTTGGTAGGCGACAACTACGTGCATCAAAGCCAGGTGAGGAAGGGATACCCATAAGGCATGGCAGTGCGCCAAACTCTCCGAAAAGGGTTGACAATACAGGGCAAAGCCACATTCCCATTTTCCCTCTCGAGAATACGCAGAGCACAAGAGCAGGAAGGAGAAAGCAGCCAGCATGTCCGATTTGCGGCAGGGTATGAAGCTATGGTGGGATGTGCCCACGGCAAGGGCATACCCAACAAACGCATATGATACAAGTTTCCATGGACTCACCTCTTGTGTGTGTCGTGCAACGTGTGAGGGCCTGAGGAGAGAGAGACAGACGAGGGCAAGGAAGATTTTTGAGATCGATTGCTGCCTGTTGTTGTAGTTCTTGTCTTCATCCGGATCTCCCTCTACCCAGTACCTTCGTATGTCCGTACTGATCCAACACAGACAGACGAGGGCAAGGAAGATTTTTGAGATCGATTGCTGCCTGTTGTTGTAGTTCTTGTCTTCATCCGGATCTCCCTCTACCCAGTACCTTCGTATGTCCGTACTGATCCAACACAGACAGACGAGGGCAAGGAAGATTTTTGAGATCGATTGCTGCCTGTTGTTGTAGTTCTTGTCTTCATCCGGATCTCCCTCTACCCAGTACCTTCGTATGTCCGTACTGATCCAACACAGACAGACGAGGGCAAGGAAGATTTTTGAGATCGATTGCTGCCTGTTGTTGTAGTTCTTGTCTTCATCCGGATCTCCCTCTACCCAGTACCTTCGTATGTCCGTACTGATCCAACACAGACAGACGAGGGCAAGGAAGATTTTTGAGATCGATTGCTGCCTGTTGTTGTAGTTCTTGTCTTCATCCGGATCTCCCTCTACCCAGTACCTTCGTATGTCCGTACTGATCCAACACAGACAGACGAGGGCAAGGAAGATTTTTGAGATCGATTGCTGCCTGTTGTTGTAGTTCTTGTCTTCATCCGGATCTCCCTCTACCCAGTACCTTCGTATGTCCGTACTGATCCAACACAGACAGACGAGGGCAAGGAAGATTTTTGAGATCGATTGCTGCCTGTTGTTGTAGTTCTTGTCTTCATCCGGATCTCCCTCTACCCAGTACCTTCGTATGTCCGTACTGATCCAACACTCCACGCGGTCGATTCCCGTGGTCATAGGTAAACTTACCCTAAAAAGGTACACTCAAATAAATGGCCCCCGAGGGGTTCGCAAGCCAATAGAAATCAACGACAGATATTCTGGAGTNTGTAGTTCTTGTCTTCATCCGGATCTCCCTCTACCCAGTACCTTCGTATGTCCGTACTGATCCAACACAGACAGACGAGGGCAAGGAAGATTTTTGAGATCGATTGCTGCCTGTTGTTGTAGTTCTTGTCTTCATCCGGATCTCCCTCTACCCAGTACCTTCGTATGTCCGTACTGATCCAACACTCCACGCGGTCGATTCCCGTGGTCATAGGTAAACTTACCCTAAAAAGGTACACTCAAATAAATGGCCCCCGAGGGGTTCGCAAGCCAATAGAAATCAACGACAGATATTCTGGAGTCCTCCACTCCCTCTGCGCGCTATGCGAGGTAACAACTGAGACTAGGAGTCACCATCACGAGCCGGAGAGAAAGAGGTACACCCCCTTGTTTCAATCATGGTACGTCACAACGCAAGCAGAGACAAGGCCATCTGGCACAGAAAAAGAGAGAAAAAAAAAGGGATCTTCCGTCTACAACTTCCCAACATAACATACAGATAGATACACAAGGTGGCTACCAAACTGCCTTGTTGATCCTGTTACCCACAGGGGAGATATCGTTTTATGCTGACCGGGAAACCGTAGACATACAGGAAGCCTTTCGCTCACGCTATGGATTCATTGCTAATCTATATTAGACTTATTTCTATAGATAGAGATGGATTCGTTGTGTGATTTTAAAGGAATGCCCGCCCGACGGTGGCTTGCCTCCTAGATGTAGTAGATGTAGATTCTGCCGTAGACACTCTTGTCCACGAGCACGTTGAAATGGGAAGGTTGCTTGTTATTGCAGAAGCGGGTCTGCTACAGGTCTGAGGTGAGGCGGATTGCCCTCAACCTGGGGGCACGCAGATAGCTAAGTCCCGATGGGGTACGTCCTAAGAGGGTATACCTCCTGACGTCCCCCATCTTAATCTAGACCGACTGTGTACCCTATCTGTGCCATACAGCAACACTCCTTAACACTAGCCCACCCTGAAGATCATCTATACAGATTCTATACTCAAATCCTAAGGCTACTAATAGCTGGTGATTTAGGATCATGAATCGAAAGATATGACTCTTCACAAGTGTATCCAAAGGAAAGAGGAGCTGTAAGAATATCCCGACTCGACCCCCCACACCACCATTGAGACAAAAGGTGATTCCGATGACGCGGAAACACAACAAGTGGCGACTCAATGATAAGGTATACCCATGGAGGGATATAGCTAGGCAGGATGTGCTGCAAAGCACCATGTTTTAACACAAAAAAAACAAAGTATCAATATCAACGCCACACACCACTCTATTTCGCGCACAAGCGCGTATTACGACTGGAGGAATGAGGGTGGCGACACAAGAGAGTCCAGAATTACTCCCGCAAAATTCAGTGGGACAGGACGACGGGCACACTACG